AAAATCGAATGAATCTACCGCTAAACTAAAGGAAAGTGCAATACTTTAGGTGTGTGTATGTGTGTGTATATGTGTGTATGTATGTGTGAGTGTACTGATCACGTGACGAGTTTTATGCGATCGCCATCTGAAACGAAATCGAGTGAATCTACCATTAGAACATAGAATTATTCGCGGCTATACGTGTGTAGTATGCATATTTGTGAGAGTGTGTGAGTTTGTGTGCGTCCGTTGTCGGAGGGCGCGGTGTCCCGGCCCTCCTCTTTGTACGGATCCCTGCCTGGTATCGGCCTCTTGCTCTGACGCCGCGGCCTATGGGTATGTTCCCTTGGGAACTCCATTCTTGCATAGGATGGAGACGGTCCAATTTTTCAGTCATGAGGGGTCAACTTGGAACAGCCTACAAGATCCTGAGACTGCTCAGGAGCAGACCTTTATGGTCTGTACGAAAAGTGACTTTAAACATCAATTATCTGTTAATTCGATCAGGAGGGAAGAGTCTACTGAAAAGGTTAGAAAACTAAGGGCGGAAGTAGAACAAGAGGTGAAATAAGAGATTTCACTGGGTATCAATCAAGTTTCGAAAATGATAAGAACCCTTAGTAATTTCGAGGACGAAGATGGACAAATTGAAGAATTTAAAAGTGTTGTAGAGACTGCAAAGGGAGGAAAAATGGAATTAAGATTTGCATCGACTCACCCTTTTTTAGGAAAATAGTCACTGGGTCAAAGAGAAAATAAAAGCCCAAGGGGGTGAAGAAAAACCCGTTGACAGTCATAATAGAAAAGGATTATGATACAACAATGAAAAAGGAGAGGGAAATTATCAAAGCATTAAGAGAGTCTGCGAAACTAGGGAATAGAGTCGCCAGAGAGAGATTTGACACGGTGAAGATAGACTCGGATCAGTTTATCCTGCCTAAGGAGAAATAATATATCTTCAAGATGTGTCAGGAATTCTCGGGTGCTTTCCCCTTTAATGATGAAGAGAGAGGGCGGTTGGACGTGAATAGATCAAGATGACCAAGATTTGGACAGTTGATCATGTTCCATGCAATGATAGGCCAACCAAGTATGCCCTGAAGGAAGAAACAAAAATTGTAAAGTACCTTGACAAAAAGATTGCATAAAATGTTGTTGAATCTGCTGATGGACCATATGCTAACCACTGGTTTTGCTTTTGGAAACCAGGGGGCGAGCTAAGATGGATACAGAATTTTCAGAAGCTCAACTCTGTGACGGCACGTAACGCAGGGAGTCTTCGTAATGATGATCTCCTCTCTGAATTTTTTGCTGGTCGATGCATTTACTCTCTAGTTGATTTGTATTATGGTCATGATTAGTTTCTCATTGATCCCACTAACCGACCAATGACTGTCATGCACACGCCAAGAGAGCTCATTCAGATGTGTGTGGTGCCTCAGGGTTGGACCAATCGTGTGGAGGTGGTTTAAAGGGATATGATCCAAGTCATGCAAGATATTTCTCCTAAGATAACCAGCCCCTACATTGATGACAATCCTATAAAAGGACCCCTGGTAAGGGATGAGACTTTGGTCGCAGGTGGAGTCAGAAAGTTTGTCTGGGAACATGCTGAAGGAGTAAAGATGGTCCTAGAGAGACTTCAAAAATATAACCTGACTGCCAGTGGACCAAAATTCCTTCTCTTCCAGCCTGAAGTGATCATCTTGGGCTTCAGATGTTTCTCCAAGGGTAGGAGTCCTGACCCCAAGAAGATAGACAAAATCTTAAACTGGCCCCTGCCTCTCAAAAGAGTGACAGACGTCGGGAGCATCTTGGAAGTCTGCGGATTCTGGAGGATTTTTATTCCTCATTTTGCTACCCTTGCAGAGCCCCTGAGGGAGATGGTAAGGCAAGGGGCTAATTTAGCATGGAATGATAAAAGACAAGCCGCTGCAGAAACTCTGCAGGAGAAACTAAAAGATGGTGGTGTAGTGCTGGGAGTGTAATTTTATGATGAGGAGGAGGCAAAACCCTTCATCATTGAGGCCGATGGAGGACCAGTTGCTCTGGGTGGTGTGCTCATTCAGAAAGATGAAAATGGAAAAGAAAGGTCTCTGAGATTTAAGAGCAGGACCCTCAATTCTACAGAAAGAGGTTATACCCAATTCAGAAAAGAGCTATTGGCGATCATCCATAGCCTCAGGTGCTTCAGGCACTACGTACTAGGGAGGAGGTTCATCTTGAGGACTGATGCATCTGCTCTGATTGGTGTCATTAAGAAGCACCAACAGGTAGATCCAACAGTCAGAAGGTGGATCGCCTTCATCTGGACGTACGATTTTAAGTTGAAAAAAATTCCCACTGAAAGGAACAGAGCAGATGGTCTAAGCCGGATTGAGTGGAGAAAAGAAGAAGAAGAAGATGTGAATGAAATGATTGAAGAATCAGCCTACGTTGATAGTTTTCTTAATGAGAAAGATGATGAGGATTATGAAGTACCATTCTCCTACAAGTGGAGTTTGTGGCCTGAAGAGAGAGACAGCTGGGGAGAGATCCCTAATGCATATGTTTATGAGTCGATTCTCGGAAAAGAAGAAGATGATGAGCCAAATGATTGGAATGCTAGAGTTAATGCAGCAGCAGTGGATGCTCATGAAATTGGGGAAAACTCTGGCTCAAAGGAAGAAGAAGAAAGTGAAAAGAAGGAGGAAAAAATATTTTTCTTCTCTGAAGAATATGATGAAAATTATCAAGAGATTGACAAGAAGATGGAAAAATAGCAGCTAAAGGAGTATTATTGTAAAAATTCAAGGAAGAAATTCAGGCTAAAAGGAGGACATCTCTTTGTGGATGGTAAGGGAGACCTACCTCCACTAAGAGTGGTCTGTGGTAAAGAGAGACAGTTAGAGATAATTGCTGCTCTACATGAGGGGGTTGCTGGTGGCCACAGGGCTGCTGAGGCAACCTACTCCAAGACTATCAAACTCTACTTCTGGCCTGGCATGAGAGACATGATTTTCAGATACTATAAATCATGTGTGTTATATCAGAAGAGGTCTACCACAAGAATGATTGAGTCTTTATTCCCCACTATTCTGGTAGAACCAGGAAGCAGAGTTCATTTAGATCTCATCACTATGCCTCCAGGCAAGGGTGGGATGAGATATATATTAAACATGAGAGATAACTTCTCTGGATATGTTGAGGCAAAAACTCTGAAAGGAAGACAGTCGAACAAGTGGCTGACTGGATAGAAGAAGTCTATCTCAGATATCATTTTATCAGAGAATTTGTCTCAGACAGAGGATCGGAATTCAGAAATGAGATTGTCAGGAGATCCACGCTTAGATTGGGTGTCAGAATTCGGTATGTGACTACTTACCATCCTTAAGCGAATGCACCTGTTGAAAGAGGTCACAGAACTTTGAAAGATTCATTGGCCAAGTGGTGTGAAGAAAATCTTAGCAACTGGCCAAAAGTGTTAAGAGTTGTTGTATATACTAACAACATCACAGTCAAGAGAACTACTGGTTATGCTCCATTTACTCTGTGGTACGGTCGATATGCTACGCTGCCTATTGAGAACATTGTCAAGACATGGTCAAGTCAAGAAAGTGACAGAGACCATTCCATTTCAGAGCTCCTCCAGATCAGAATGAGGCAGATGTCAGAAGTTGATCAGACAGTGATGGATGCTGCAGAGAGAATGACATCCAACAGATTATCAGATCAAGAGAGAGGGAACAAGAAAAGATATATAAGAAAAAAAAAATTGAAGATTGGGGATGTTGTCCTTCTGTTTGACATTTCCCTTGAGACACAATGGACTAGAAGGTTGGAGCCCAGATGGCTTGGTCCTTACAGAATCACTGGGGAAGCAGAAGACAAAGTTTATGAGATTTCAGAGATGGATGGATCCAGGGTTCACGACATGGTGTTGGGATCAAGACTTCGTAAGTTCATTTTCAGAGATCCTGACTTGATCCCCACAGTGACCTCAAAGAGAGGGAAGAAAGGTCAATCATCTAAGTGAGCGAACAGTTCTAGAGAAATTGAAAAAAAAAAAAAAAAAAAAAAAAAAAAAAAAAGTACAGTAAGACAATGAGACACCAAGACAGAATTTTCAGCAGACTATGATCGTCCTTGCGTGGTCAATTTAACAATACAATTCTTTCAGCAGGTCAGTTAATTTTCTGTTTTAGTAAGCAACAAAGTTAATAAAACTATATCTTTGATGCAATGCTACAGTCGATCCATGAGTCTCAAGTCCCAGAGAGTGGGAAATTTTTTCGAGAGCATTGACGCAGTCAGCGTTGTCGAGCCCCGGCCCCTGGGGCTCCGCACCCCCGGCCCCGGCCAAAAAAAAAAAAAAAAAAAAAAAAATACAGGGGGGTGCGCACCGTCACCACCAAGCCCCTGGCACTTTCTGTTTTTTCCAGAAAATGGGGTTATTTGGCCCACCCCCCGGGGGTGGTTATCACCCCTGCCGGGGCCGGGGCCATGGCCGACTGGGGGCGGGGGT